GACCCAAAGAGTGTGAGTTCAATACCCGGTTAAGGCAGTGGAAAACTTGGAGAGGGGAATTAGCAGGAGATAACTGACAAGTGACATCCATTAAACATGGCATGTGGAACTAGAACAGTCTACCCCAGTGAGCGAAATAAAGGGTTCAGTTTGACATTCCAACAACCTGAAGAAGGCTGGAGCGTACAATGGCCAAAATGCTGTAATAAATATGGTGACAAAGATGAGGACAATATTACAAATAATGTAAATAGTGTAAATAATACCTCAATCTCAGAAATATAAACAGATACATTTGACAGGATTTGTCATACTGGCCTTCTTCAAAAGTTGAAGGGCTATGGTGTCTCTTGCCAAATATTCAACTTGATTCAATTTTTCTTAACAGATTGTGTAATGAACGTAGTGTAGAATAGCCAGTTTTTTATGTCCTTTAACATTAATGCAAGGATCACCAAAGAGCTCTACCCTTGGACCTATATTGTTTCTTATTTTCATCAATGATCTTCCTGATGCCATCAGTTCCTAACTTGGTATTTATGCTGTTGACATGATTCTTTCTTCTTGTAAAGATCATCAATGCTAGAGTGCATTATTGATGATTTTGAATCTATTAAGAAATACTGGAAACTGACAGATTCTTAATTATATATAAACTTCTTGCTGGTGTCTAGATTAAAATAGCCTTGAAGATTTTCACTAATTTTTGTCAGTTCAGTTTGTGTTATCAGAAACATTTTAAAATAGCAGTTAGTCTTCATCAAAGGCCTTGACTTAATTATAAAAAAAAATATATATAAAATAAGAAAAGTTAGGTCAACATATCAGTTCATAAAAGGAAAGTAGCAATTACATTTTAATTATTTTTTATCAAAGTAGAGTCATGATAATATTCTTCTGGATCATCAAAATATTATTTTATGGACTGTAGTTGATGCCTTACAAACTATAAGTTTTTATATCACCATACTGTAAATGTGAAATTATTTACAAGCATCAGTTATATCATACTAAAAGTTTTATTTTATATGTAAACACTAAAGAGTTGAAATGGTGTTCTTGTCAGATGTACTGAATTAAAGTGCTACTAAACTTGAAGAATGAAAACTAAGAGAAAAGAAAAGATTCATGTAATTTTTAACTGAATGATAGTGTGAGATCATACTCTTCTTCTAACAGCAATTAAGAGGTTGTTCCACACTCCTCAAAACCTCCAATCTCCCAATTAGAGGCCTTGGAGCCAGATGTAGTTTATCGTCATACCTAGGACTAGAGCATATCATTTGTCCTGTTAGTTCTCTTATTTTTTTATGCATATATGCAATACTAATTCTTTTTATTTCTGCATATTTTTTGTTAAGTCATTCCTCTTTAGCTTGCCTGCATTTGTTGCTAATTTCTTTGTGCAGTGTCCTATATTCTGTGCCATATCTTAGCATTGTTTTTTGCCTACTTTTCATCATGTTGACAGTTTAATCTCTCATCTATTCTTTTTCTAGTTTTCTTGGGATGATCTCAGTTGCTGATGTTACTAAAGCTTTTTGTCAATTGTATTCTTGTAACACTGTCGATATATTTCTTCACATTCAGGTTATTCAGGAGTCTGTTATATTTAAATTTTGATGCTTCTTTCGCCCTCTTTAATTTCCATAGTTTCCCTCTAAGTTTACATGCTCAAAAATAACAAGTAACAGATAAATCTGACTACATTTTATGTTTATATAGTGAGCCTCAAGCAAACCAGTTAATTTCAATAGGTAATAACTCATTTAATCATTCTTGAAGAAAAAAATTATCAAAATTCCTTCTTATCTGTAAATAGGGTAATTATTTTATTAATAACAACAAAAATTCTGCATTGTCCAAAATTTTGATGATGACAATATGATTTTTATAGGTACCACTATCCTGTTACTTGAAGATAAAATTAAATTAACTTGGAAATATGAAGTTAATATAAATTAGTAACATGTTTCTTTTTTATTTTTTTTTCTAATAATATTGATGCATCAAACTCATTTAAAAAATTAAAACTAAATTTACATTTTTATTTTATTTTAAATTTATTACATTTTAACAAAAAGCTGCTGCTTTCAAGTTTAAAATCCATCACCACTTGGATTATTTTTTTTCAAGTAGTAATTAATTTAATTAATATTGGAATATTAATTTTATACAAAAAAGGTAAAATTTACTGCAATAATTTAAAATACAGAAACACACACACACTGGATAACATTGCAAGGAGAAAAGTCCAATCTGCTAATTTGATGTTATTTTTTTTTAAACTGTTTATAACATACTTATTTAAAAACAATATTAAAGAGAAAAAAAATTTTTTTTTTGATAAATGAAAATTTTCTTTAAATTTTTTATTACATCTTAACTTAATATTCACTAAAAGCTCAAGAAAGGTATAAAAATATCCAAAAATAATTGAATATATTCAGAGAAATGCAAATGAAACAGACATAAGTAATCCTGTCATTTTTTATGGGTATTACTCAGGTATAAACAATCAATTTAATCAAAAAAAAAATAAATAAAAAAATAAAGCATTTTATCTATGTTAATACCTGTTTATTTACAAAGAGAGTGTTTGGTCTGAAAAGGAGAAAGTGTAATTATTCAAGTGAAAAGAAAAACGGACAATTTCTCTAACTTAACTCATTGTGTCATTAAGTGCTTTATTATTGTAACATAATGCTCTTTCATTTAAAAGAGGATTAAAATTGATCCATATATGGAATCAGCTGCTGATTGGGGGGGGGTCATATACATCAGATATCCACATAAATCAGTAAATTATAGAATTAGCTAAGCAAAAGAAACAGCCCAACGTGCAAATTACAACTTGGAGATATCAAAATCAAACAAGTACAACAATTTAAATATCTGAGAAATGTTTAAACAGAGGATGGAAAATGCAACTGTGAAATCTGAAGGCACATTGAGATAGCGAAAGATGCCTTCCAAAAATTAAGCAAAGTATTGAGAAAGAGAAAAATTTTGTTAGAAACAAAAGAAAAATGTACTAAACTGTTATGTAATATCAGTCTTTCTATATGGCAGTGAATGCTGGACAATCTTGTTATAGATAAAGAAAAAACTTGAAGCAACAGAAATGTGGTTCTACAGAAGGAAGCTGAGAATGCCATGGACTGAACATGTGAATAAAGACCAAGTTTTAGAAAAAATGTAAACAAAAAGGGCACTTATACTTAACATCAGAAAGAGAGTTGAAATTTTTAGTTTATATAATGAGGAAAGAGGGCTGAGAAATTTGATACTCACAGAACAGATTGAAGACAAGAGGGACAGAGGAAAACAATGCATAATATACTTGAGTGAGCTTGAATAAATGAATGGTGGAAAGGAGAGAGAGATAATAAGACAATTTATTACGAGTTACAAAGGACAGAAAATTGTGGAGAGCCCTAATTGCCAACATCCTAAAGGAACATAGGACATAGAACAAACAAGTATTATGATCACTTGTATAGGCTGATCAGAAGCTGCTCATTTTTAACTGACTGGACAATGATGTCTTTATAAACATTACAAAGGAAAAATAAAATTGTAAGAGAGGATAGAAAAAGAAGGAAGAAAAAGCAGAATAGAGAGTTGACTAAGTCAAAAGCCAAATCCATTCAGAAAAGTTATTAAAATTCATTGTATATATATTTGTTATCCAGCTTTGAAAAGCATGGCCAATGTGACAGAGGACTTTCCAGAAAGATACATCAAATACATCCTAGTAATGGTTTGAGAAGTTTGGTGCAAGTGAGAGGTCAAGAGACACCTTCATTCTGAGTAAAACCAAAATGACATATGTAATACTCAAGTATTACACTTAGGAAACAAGCCAATATATTTCACTTTGACCTGTTTTTATTTTCACTGGTTTTACGACTAGAGGTAATCTTCTTTGTTGAGCTAAATGTTTGTCTTGTTACTGAAGGTGATTCCAATCACTAAATGATAATGTGCCATCATGCTCCATATGGTAGCAGAAAACCACCTTGAGTGAAATTAAAAATGTTGTTAATTCATTTGAAGAGCCATGAAAAAGAATGCAGAGATGTAATACCTGCGAATAATTCAGAAGACTAAAAGTTAAATGTATGCAAAATATACACCACTAAAAAATTACTTAATAGCTTATAAAAAATAAATACACAATCACTATACACATGAACATAATATAAACAACTTTCTAAATTAATTGAAAAGAGCAACCTTTTCTTCTTTTTAGGTGTAATTAAAATAAATCTATCAGCTTTAAGTCCTTTGGATTTCTTAGAACATCTTTGTTTTTTTAACTAGTTTATCATTTATTTTATTACTGTTGCTTTTTATCAGAATAATATTGTCATTTTAAATTCTATAATCAGTAAGCAATAAAACTGAATCTGAAATAAAGTAGACTTCATCTATACTGAATATTTAACAATAATGATACCTGATCTTGTAGACTAAATCCCATTTTCTTTACTGAACTATACAGTCATTTCTTTGAGAGATTTATGTATGCCATAAAATTATATTAATGAAATTGTCATAATTAAAACAGTTTAACAGGTTTAAACATTTTGGTAGTCCTTTATAATATTTATTAGATTTTCAAAATATACTATTAAAAACCTCAATATTGTTTACTTCCCTTTTACTCCCAAATACTAATGGGTTTATCATTTTACAAGTAGAAAATGACTTTATTTAAATAATTAAGCTGTTAAATTATAAAAGTTGTTTTATTGATTGATTTATTTTTTTTATGGTTCATCAACCTGTTGCAGGTTATTTAAAGCTGGAGCATGTTTTTGAGATTGCAAGAAGTTTTTGGAAATAAGGCATTTTATATACGAGTACAACTTTTTAACCTATAGCTAGAGGGTATTTGAGCATAAGTGAATATGACAAACCTGAACAGAATTGGAACTCAGCTCTCCAATTTCACTTTCTGAGCCATTATCCATTACACCACCCATACATCTAAGATTACAGCACCTAGTATTTCCAAGTGGTCACCCATCTAGATACTGAACTGTCTTGATGTTGCTTAACTTCAGTGATCATACATGAACTGGTGTTTCAGCATGATATGGCCTTAAGCAAGTTATAGTATTCATCAACAAAACAATCATTAATTTATTAAAAAAAAATCACAAAAGACAAGATTGAAAATGAAAAATAATTTTTTTTAAATTTTATTTTTAAAGCCAAATATGCAAATTAGTTATTTCCCTTTAAATGAAGCAAAATGTAAAACATACTGCTATTATTATTGCTTTATTTTTAGTGAATAACCATGTTTTTATTTTCAACAGTGTGTATTATATCTATGGCCTATGCATGCAAGAAAACTTAAAGAATATGTGCTCTCCAACAGGGTTTGAACCTGTATCCCCCTTTGTAGGAGAAACCACATTTTCGAACCCTGCTCGAGAGCACATTCTTGTTGATTTAGTTTTCTTGAATGTGCAGGTCCTAGACATAATACACACTGTTTAAAATTGTAACAAGTCGTCTATTTCAAATAAGTGTATCTACTAAAAAATAATGTTTGAATAAATCCATTAATATATATATATATATATATATACACATGCACACATGCACTAGGGCTATGACTTTTTGTAAAATAATTGACTTCCTGTATCATAATTTGATGATTTTTTGTTAAAAAATAATGAAGAAAAGTTTAATTCAGTTTATTTTTTTTTACATGCCCCTCCCCCAACCAACACAAATTTTTAAAAATTGTATATAAATATAGTAGTACTATAACTTTCTGGAGCCTTCTAGAATTTGTTTTTATTTATTTGTAAGTTTGTATGTTAGGCTATAGCTATAAACTGTTAAATGTGTTAAAAATAGTTCTTTCTTGCTACTTGTTAAATATTAGGAAAATCATACATCATTTTTGTATCTTGTATTTTTTTAGTCTTAAACTAGAAAAAATACAGCTGTGAGTTTTCTGTTGAAAGACTTAGAAGTGCTAGTTACTGGACTTGATAAACCTATTTTCCTGAAAAATTATTTATAGGAAAGATTTTATAATTTTCAATTTAAGTAGCATATGCTGCTCTGTCAATGAATGCCATATGTTTCTTTAAAGGAAACTGCTAATATTATCATTATAAAATTTATAAAAAAAAAAAAAAAAAAAAAAAAAAAAAAAATCAACTAAACTTGATGTTCTGATTTTGTATTAATTTTGGTTTCCTTATATGAACAGAAAGTTGATATTTTATATCAAATGACACAATCTCTATATACCAAAAGAAAACATCATTTTCCTGTTGAAGTTGCTAGATGTAAATGTAAGTTCTATGCTAATAGTTTCTTCTATTGCACTTCTTGTTTGTGAAACTCTCTTCTAGCTTAAAAAAAAAAAAAATCCTCAGCTTGACCAAAGAGGGATTCCAAAAAATATGATGTCTGATCAGTTTTTGGAAAGTGAGCCAGACAGAGCTTTTTAGCACCCTCTCATTATATATGTGTGTAACACTTTTTTTTATATAGTACCGATAATACATTATGATCTTAGGTAGAAGCTTGAAGAGCAACACTAATCAGAAGCAGAAGTGACAATCCATACCAAATGCAAATTCCATCATTTTTAACAGGTACTATGTTAATATGTATGCAACACACATACATACAAAGGCATATATACATCATTTTACAGTTGAAATGACTTAGATGTAACAATAAGTTTTATGCTAACAGTTTCCTCTATTGCATTTCTCACTTATGAAACTATCTTCCAGCTTCTTGCTTTCCAGTTAACTTTGATCTACAAAAAATTAAATGCAATGTCAATCATTATCTTCTATCTTCTTAATTCCTGTTCTTTTATTGTTCTCTCTCTCTTGAATAGCATTTCTTTTCCTCATATGCTCTCACACTCAGTACCCTCCCCCATTGCATCTTAGTGGCTTTATTGCCTTGCTTTGGGTGAAATGATTGGAAAAAAAAAATTTAAATTAAATATTTTTTATTCATTTTTTTCATATTATCTCAGACTCAGTAAGCTCTTGCATCTTAGTGGTTTTAATGCCTTGCTTTTTTTTTTGCTTATTTTTTTTATAATTGACAATTTAATGAAATGATTAAAAAAAATAGTTCAGATGTTTTCAAATATTTGCTGATTATTATTAAAAAATAAATTTTGAAGAGTACTAGAAAGGTTGTCATGATGAAAAGCAATAATATTGACCAAACTCTTCATTTTGGTTTTATTCAGTAAATATACATACACAAATTAGTGGACTCAAAATTTTCTTGTGTTGTCATTAAAACCAAAATATAAAACATATAACTTGTAAAATAAATAGAGAGCATAGTTTTTAAATCAAGAAAGTTGTAAAAATCACTAATTCAATTGTAAAAGTTAAGGAAAAAATAAACTAATGCAATTAATGACTAATTGGGAAAATTTTTCATTTTGCAAAAACAGTTTCTACTTTGCTTTTAGATATTAATTTGTAAACAGAAACTATAAAATTGTGTTTTTTTTTTTTTACATGTTACCAAAATAATAAATGGCTGAAAGAAAATTAAAAGGTCTCAGTAGAAAATTGACAAAAAGGAATCAGGGTTTAAGCTCAAAAGGAAGAAGGATAAATTTGGACACCAGTTGCAAATGGCTTATTGGGTAATCTGCCTTACTTTGATAAAATAAAGCACTAATAACCTTCCTTTTTTTTTTTTTAAACATGAAAAAAAAATGCCTGAAAGCAAAAATATGAAGGAAACAAGGTGAAGGTGGAAGTTGAAAAGAAAAAGGTTAGTGTTAAGCATTAATGTCATAGATGAAAACATACCGTAGTTTCACTGGAAGAAGAGTTATATTGCTGCAATTAAATAAATTTAAATCGTGACAAAACACTTTAAGTGGAATGTTGAAATACTTCAACTTCTCTGAACCTCATGAAAAAAAAAAAAAAATTGAATTTGATTTTCTTGTCAGATTTTCAGTAAAAGGTCATTTCAATGCTGCCTCAAGTAAATATAAAGAAAATTGCACTAAAATTTAATATTGGGCATTTTAAAATTAAACATTAAAAAGAAAAATCAATAACGGAATTAATTCTTAATATAAAGTCAAATGAATATGAAGGGAATATAAAAAAGAGGATTATGCTAAACCAATTTTTTTCTAGAAAAACAAAATTCAAAATTTGTCTTTTTACTTGGGATTGAACACTCACACTAGTAGAAAATACAAAATTCTTAAATCTACCAAGCAGGTTTATAACTCATTTATAAGTTCAGGGACAAGATGAATTGGGATAAATAAGGTAAAAAAATATTGTGTTCCACCAATTGTGGATACGTCAGCCTAGAAATTCAGAATACTGGTATTTTATCTGGCACAAGTGGAAAATATATAATTATTTCAACCACAAAGTAAACTGTGATTAATTTTCAATTTTATTTTCTGGTTCAGAACATTCACCTGATAACTAAAATTCATAGTTTGTTACAGATTGTTTTCTTGTCTCTTCCTGCAATTATTTTGATAGGCATTTTATAGTTGTTCTCTACAATGCTGAAAGAAATAATTTAAAATATCTTATCACAGTCTAGTAAAATCTTAGGAAAGAAAAAAAAAGAAAAAAAAGGCAGCAAAATTTGTTTTAAATTTTGAAAGCGATTATATCTGATATAGAAAATATTTGTTAGTAGGATTTTTAGTTTAAATTCTTACAGTATTTAGTATTGTTGAAGTTATCAGCAACATTTTTTTGTCAAGATTTACAAACTCTACATTTCATTCAATTTCACCAAACAATTAATGAAATATAAAAACTTAAAAAGATATACAAAAATAATATTGCATTCTTATTAAATAAGTATTTGTTATTTTAATCATTGAATTGTTTTTAAAATAGTGGAAGTATTTTGTATGTTAAATAATAAAACTTAATTTTTCAAAAAAAAATTAATGAAAATTTAAAATTTATTGTACTAAGCTACACACCCTAGTAAAACCAATTGTACTTTGTACCCCCTTACCTGTTTACACTTCTCCCCCAAATTTGGTTTTGACAGGCTATGTATGACTATTTTAGAGGGCAAGATGGATGGACTAATGGAAGTCATAGAATTTTATATATAAATTATTCTTGGAGTGGGGGTTGTAAACAAATCAAATTTGGTTTCAGATTTGCTTAAAAGTCCTCCTTTATATGTCACTTTAGGTCTGTCTATATTTCTGAGATGTGGTATTGTAACTATTTACATTGTTTGAACTGATATCCTCATCTTTGTTGTCATGTTCACAATGTTTCGGTTGTTGTATGCTCTGGCCTTCTTCAGGTGATTGGAATTTCAAACTAAACCTTTTTGGCTTAGATTATTCTAGTTCCACATGCCAAGAACATATGGCCCAGTGGATAAAAGTGTTGGTTGAAGTAATCCAGTGGACAGTCAGAGCACACAACGGCCAAAATGTTATGAACATGACAACAAAGATGAAGACAACAAATGTTGGCGATTTTATATAACTGTCTGTAGCAGAAAATAGCCTTTACTACAGTTTCAAATAAATTTTTTTTTTTTAAGCATTACGCCCCGAGCAAGGCGTGAAGCCACTAGGATGCAGGGGGTTGCAGAAGATTTTGAGCGAGAACAGATAGGAGTGATAGAGGAAAAGATGAGGAGAGGGATAGTGGATAGATCAAGGTAATTGGAGATGTCAATTGACATTACATTTGAATAGTTGGAGATTATAGCTCACAGGGAAACAGTAATAGGGAAGGGTGTTCCACAGGCAAGAGGTGCGAGGTATGAAGCTATTGGAGTAGAAGAGACGGCTACGTTTAGTAGTTTCTACAGTGAAAGGGTGAGAGCGGGATGCCAGCCTTGTAGGGCGCTTGAATTCATGAAGTCTGGGAACCAGTGAAAGCAGTTCATCAGAGCAATTACCACGAAAGTATTTGTAAAAAAGATAGAGAGAGGCGATGACGCATCTGTGTGAGAGCAACTGCAGACGAGATGTCAGATCAGGGCCAATTATATTACATATCCGCCTCTGGATCTTGTCAAGAACTCTGAGGTAAACAGAAGGTGCACCAGACCATATATGGCAGCAACACT